TATATATATATATGTGTGTGTGTGTGTGTGTGTGTGTGTATATATACTCCTCTATTTTTACCAGCTGCTGTCAAGTCGATTGATTCTGACTCATAGTGACCCCATGTATGTCAGAATACAACTATGCTCCCTCCATAGGGCTTTCAAATGGCTGTGTTTTGGGAAGTAGATTGCCAGGCCTTTCTTCTGAGTTATCTCTGGGTGGACTCAGACCTCCGATCTTTTGGTTAGCAGCAGAGCGCAGTTAACCATTTGTACCACTTAGTCTCCTCTCTCTTAGTCAACGGGTGAAATACCACACTCTTGATTAAGGCCAACCTCTTCTCTTGAGCACTGGATTTTATCTCCTCATCTACTCAAAGGCTCGGAGCTTCTCTCTTTTCCTTCCATCTTGAACCTACCCTCAGATCAGACTCCAGCCACCAAGCTGCTTGTTGAGGTTACTAATGATTCCCACATGTTGTTGTTGTTATGTGCCCTCGAGTCAGACCCGACTCATAGCGACCCCTCCCCTTGGGTTTCCGAGGCAGTATCACTACAGAAATAGATTAACCCATCTTCCTTCCAAGGAGTGGCTGGTGGGTTTGAACCGCCAGCCTTCTGGTTTGGGGTCAAGTGCCTTAGGCACTATGCTACCAGAGCTCCCAGTGATTCCCACATAGTGAGATCAAATGGCCAATGTTTAATCTTCACCTTACTTGACCTAACTGCACCCTTTCAGCCAACTGGTGTGCTTTCCTTGCAAGGCTTCATCTGGCTTCCAATCACCACACTCTCTTGGCTCTATTCCTACTGGCCTTGGCAGCTATGTTAGTTTCCTTGCTGGTTCCTAGCTATCTCCCCAACCTCTGAACACTGAAGTGTTTTATGGTTTCTTCTCTATCTACACATTTCTATTGTAATTTCATCAATGAATTGAATTCTACATCTACATAATTAAACGCACTCTATATATGTTGACACCTTCCCCCTAATTCATACCAAGCCCTTGATCATGCCTCTTCTATACAACTGTTTGTTCAGCATCTCTTAAATGTCTAATAGTGTTGTGTACCAGTGAATCGATTCCTCTCAGATCAAACCTATAGGGCACAGTAGAACCACCCCACAGATTTTCCTAGGCTGTAATCTTTGTAAGAGCAGATTACCAGCTCTCTTCTCCCACACAGTAGCTAGCTGGTGGTTTCAAACCACCAATCTTTCACAGTTTAGTTGCTAAGCTCTTAAAACACTGCACCACAGCTTCCCAAACTTAACATGATCAAAATGGAAATTCTTTCCTTTCTCATCCCCCCAAACTGCTCCTTCCCCAAAGTCTTCCTCATTCAATTAATCACAAATCTATCCTTCCAAATATATGCTCCATCTTCATACTTCATACCCCCCCACCCAATCCACTCAGCAAATCTATTAACTTGAACTTCAAAATCTACCTACAACTGGACTGCTTCTCATCATTCCACTGCTACACCTGCACCAAGTTCCTATCAACTTTCACCAGGCATGCCCATTGCCCTCAAGTCGGATCAGACTCATAGCGACCCCTCCCTAGGTTTCCGAGGCAGTATCACTACGGAAGTAGATTGCCCAACCTTCCTTCCGAGGAGTGGCTGGTGGGTTTGCACCGCCAGCCTTCTGGTTAGCAGTCAAATGCCTTAGGCACTATGACACCAGAGCTACAGCCTCCTAATTTGTTCTCCCAGTTTCTAACCTTATTCTCTCCTCCCTCACTGGTCTGTTTTCCATAGCCCTTTTAAAAGTCAAAGTCCTTCTAATGGCCAAAAATGGGGCTTTATATTACCTTTGACTCCTCTTCAGCTATGTTTTCCCTACCCTTCTGTTCCAGCTGCATGAGCATCTCGCTTATAGCAACTTGCCAGGCATTCCTGCCTCAGGGAGTTTTGCACTTGCTTTTCTTCCCCCAAATCTTTGTATCATTTGCTCCCTCAGCTCCTAAGCACTTCATTCAAATGTTGTTTTTCCAGTGAAGCCTCCAGAATTGACATGCAAACATAATTTCACCATACTCTACACTCCCCCTAGCCCTGCCTCCCATATTTTATCTCCACAGGACAAACAAACCACATAGCTTACTTATTTTGTTCAGAACAGTTAACTCCATAAGAGGAGGGATTTGAGTCCTATCTTCAGCATTTGGAACAGTGCCTATCACCATAGTGTATGTTTGATAAATACTTGAATGATGAATCTATTTGATGTTATAATGAAAAAGGAATACACTATCAGAATTTCATCTTTAGCATCATAAAGCAGGTTTATTCAAAGCAGAATGTCACAACACAGGAGAGAAACAAAGGATCTATTCAATACAGGCAGTCCCCACATTATATGAACAAGATCTGTTCCTCTGTCTGCAAGAATTTGTAGGTCAGTTGAACAGGTGCCTACAGTTCTTATTAAGCCTTACTTTAGTACAAGAAAAGGCTCAAAGCCTTTTCAATTATTTAAAAGCTGCACATGTAGGAAATAATGGTGACTGTGATGAGCTGGTTGCAGTAGGGGTTGGTTCAATCATTTCAAAAGTGAGGACAAATTTACATAATATTAAAGGGCAAGTATGAGTTGTCTGGAAGTTGAATGTTCACAGCCCAGGGAATGCCTGTATTTCTTCTTAAACAACAACAACAAATTTCTATTTAATATACAAATTAATAATAGTGTATGTTATTTATGTTATTAACACATGTTCAACATTTTTTAACAGACATTTCATAGACAAAAATGTTTAGAACACCACTATATGTAAGTCCTGGGTAGGAAAAACAATAAATGAGAAAACTGCACTTATACTGCCACCACTCAAAAAAATTATGTGCATAGGGAGGAAGTAAAATGAGAGAATATGGGGATTTCAATTAATGTCACGAATCAAAATGTGTATGACCTATTGAAAGGAAAACTAATTTGCTCTGTAAACGTTCACCAAAATCACAAAAAGTTTAAATATATATAAATATATAAATTACACTGTTTAATTCTACAACCTACAACACACATATTAAAAATATATTTCTCTCAGCCCAATCAAAAACTGGAAAAAAAAAACCCATGAGATTAAAATCAAATCCTTCCCCAAAATGTATTACATGCATAGCCATTTTAATCTTTGGTATTGTTAATTCAAGAGTAGTTTTTTGAAAGTAAGGAAAGATTTATATATGGGAAGAAATTTTCTTTGTTGGTTACCAGGAGTGGGAAGGGAAGGGAAGGAACACTGCTAGATAGGTAGAGACAAGTATTGATTTGGGTGAAGGGAAGGACAATGTACCAAATGTGAGTGAGCAACACAGTGGCACTGAGGAAAGGAAGGCAGAGAGGTGCATGGGAGGTACAGACAACAAAGATGAACCCTTTTGCACAGACAGTATCGTGCTGTCAGTGACTGCAAACACTCATCTACACGGGTGGATAGATAGTTGGACAGGCTTAATGATTAGGTATGTCTATGCAGGTTGCAGCATGCCCATGACCATGTATAGGGTTGGCAGACAATGTTTCTACAAGTGTATTTGTATGTTCTGTAGAATGTCCAGGTTGTAGTCAGTTCTTGGCCACGGCCAGCTACCCAGAGGGAGAAAGTAGTTGGACCTGTAGGCTTGGGACCATGGTCACAGGGAACATCAAGCTCAATTAGCATAACATACTACAGAAAACATCTTCCACATCCTGCTTCGGCAAATAGCGACTGGGATTTTAAAAGCTTATAAGTGGCCATCTAGATGCAACAATGGATCTCTCCTCATCCAGAGCAAAGAAGAATGAACAAAACCAAAGACACATAGAAACAATTAGTTCAAAGGTACACCATGCGATCCTCAGCCTATATGACTATGAGACCAGAAGAACTAGATGGTATCTGGCTACCACTGTCAGCCACTAGGAGGGGGATCTATGTAGGATATCCTGGATAGAGGAGGAGAACAACGTGGAACAAAATTCAAAATCATTTGGGAAAAAAAAAGCAGGGACCAGGTTTGCTGGTCTGATAAGCCTGGTGGAACACCTGACGATGCCCTTCAGGTCTGAAATTGAACCCACTCCTGGTTCAATTCCTGACAGGTATGTGAGCTGAACATTTATTGTAGGTAGTTACACTCCTTGCAGAGATTATGGGAGAATAGAAGGGCTGTGTATGCACAGGGAGATAGCTTGGGGTGGGGGGAGAATGCATGGGAGGGAAGGACACAGGGAAGAGGTAACTATGGGGAGGAAGTGGGAAGAGAGCTGTTGCATTGTGGAAAATTGCAGTCAATGTTATGAGACAAAGTATATGTGAACTGCTATATGGAAAATGAATTTGCTCTATAAACTATCAGGCAAATCACAATAAAAATAATAAAAAAGAGAGAGTAGTTCTTTGTTCTTTTTATCATGGCAAAACAAGGGGAAATGAGAAACTGAAATGCTCTAAATGGTTTTCGGCAAAATGGCCCTTAGTTTCAAAAAACAAAGCTTTTTTCACAGCATTAATAATCTCATGAGACAAATGAGCCTCCCATCTTGGGAAGGTCTCCAACATGTAACTAGAGCAAAAGAAGCCCGTCTTCATTTTTAGAAAAATAAAATAAAGATGTTAAGAACAACAGCAGGAGTAGTGGAAATGAAGAAAGAAATGGATGGTAAAAGTCCTTGAATTCTGATCTCTCTTCACCTCCATTCTCTTTTTTGTTTTGTCCAAGAACTTTTATTTTTAGAAAGTCATAAAGAGGAAGACTGGAAAAAAGGGGATGCTAAGATCCAAAAGCCCCAAAACACCACTCCTTGGTTACACAAAATTGCGTTAGCCCTACTTAAAGCTATAAAGAGCTACCAGAAGGGCCTCAAGATCATCTCAAAATAGCTTCAAAAATCACTCTCAGTACATAATGGCACAGAGATAGGGCATTCATTTTCTCATTTTCAGTTCATCCTCAAACTCAAACAGTCTTTCTAAAGAGTTTAGATATAAGACATTACCATATGACCCAATCAACTGTAAGATTACAGAATTAGCTCCTAGGTATGAAACACATTTTGGAAGTTTTCTATATGCTCTCTAGTGTCACAATGAATAGATGCATAATCATTATTTGACTAACTGGTGGTTTTCCCAAACAAACCCACAGCATAAATTATAGGTTGAAAAATGAGTAACATCCAAATGAAATACATCTCAGATGCTAGGATCTGAAAGTCTTACCCACAGGAGATGCCATTTTTTTCTCCTAAAAAGGCAAAGCCTGGATTTGTTGTTCGGTACTGTCGAGTCGTTCCTCACTCATAGCGACCCTATGTACAACAAAATGAAACACTGCCCAATCCTGTGCCAGCCTCACAATCCTTTCTACACCTGAGCCTATTATTGCAGCCACTGTCAATCCATCTTACTGAGGGCTTCCCCTTTTACATTGACCCTCTACTTTACCAAGCATGATATCTTTTCTCCAGGGAATGGTCCCTTCAGACAACACAACCAAAGTAGGTAAAATGAAGTCTGGCCTTTCTCCCTTCTAAGGAGCATTTTGGCTGCACTTCTTTCTGCTACTAATCACACAGGGTTAACTGTGAACTTCTAGTTCACACCATTCTTTGGTACAGACAATGAAGTATAGTGTGACTTCTTTAAGTCTGGAAGTATTAAGTTCCTACTGTTTTACTCATTTAAGTATGTTTTTGAACTAGTAAAGATCCCTGATGGCACAGTGGTTAAGCAGCTGTTAATGGAAAGATCAGAGGTTCAAACCCACCAGCCACTCCCCATAAGAAAGATGAAGCAGTCTGCTTCTGTAAAGATTTCCAGACTTGGAAACCCAATGGAACAGTTCTACTGTCGTATAGGTGACATAGGGTCAAATCAACTCAAGGGCAATAGGCTTTGGGTAAACTACCTGAGTGCACCTATAAATTGATCCTCTAGGAAAGATCGGCTCCAATCACTCTCCATCTGATTCTCACTCCACTCGAGATTCAAATGCTCAAGAACATGTACCCACTCCTGAACCACTGTCTACAGTCAGGGATCTGGCAAGACTCTCCCTCGCCAGTATTACAAGTCTACTTTTGGAAATGAAGGTACTATCAACCTCACTTGAACCTCAAAAAAGAAACTGAAGAACTGTTTGAAAAGATGGCATTAAATGTCCACTGTCCACTGAAAGACAAAAGGAACAGAGTGGTTACCTCACAGAACACAGAACTGTTACTTGTCACAGGAGAAGTACAAAATTTTGAGAGGTTAAAAGAGGGAGGTTTTATCAGATAAAGCTTTGAATTAGTAATGTGGTTAGGATATAGACAAGACCTGTAAAAAACATAGGGAAATAGTAAGTTTAAAATACTTGTTGGGAATGTTAATTGAAGTTTCTATGGAAAAGTTGTTGTTGTTATTTGCCATCGAGTCAGCCCCGACTCATAGCCACCCCTCTCCTTGGGTTTCCGAGGCAGTATCACTAGGAAGTAGGAATGCCCAACCTTCCTTCTGAGGAGTGGCTGGTGGGTTTGAACCGCCAGCCTTCTGGTTAGCAGTCAAGTGCCTTAGGCACTATGCTACCAGAGCTCCTATGGAAAAGTAGTCATGCCATTATCTTTAATAAATTTAATATTGAGAGCTCTGGTAACATAGTACGTAAGGCACTTGACTGTTAACCAGAAAGCTGGCAGTTCAAACCCACCAACCACTCCTTGGAAGGAAGGTTGGGCAATCTACTTCTGTAATGATACCACCTCGGAAACCCAAGAAGGGGTCGCTATGAGTCGAGTCTGACTCGACGGCATGTAACAAGAACAATATTCATAATATAGCATATTAGCAATTTAAAAGTTTCTGGAAAATGGGAAAGAGTGGAAAAATTACGAATG